TATCTTTATAAATGAGGACATCCCAAATATTTCTGTGTATCTTAACTTAAAGCAGGTCTTTAACAAGGTACCTCAAACCTAGAGGCCTAACAGACAGGAAATTTGTCATGAAACATACTATATAGGCATAATTCTTAAGAAAGTAATAACATTAAATCTGTTCAATGCTATCATAGAAATTAAATTCACTGAATGGAAACAATGCCTTTGAAGCAGTATGCTTTCCATCATCTGTTTGCAATCATTTTCAAGCTCTGATATATAATGAGTAGCTGATAATAGAGAATTGCTACAATTGATTGCAAAATTGAAAGTATGTTGAATTACAATTGTGATATATATGGTATTCACTCTAAGACACAAATCATAACTAAGCAGCTGTTAAAGTGAAAATAAATGCACAATCATGAAAAGACACTGAAACTTGATAATCTTAACAGGATTAAAGACTTCAGTTGTTTAGTTAACTACATAACTACAAGTCCTTTTTCTACATGGTGAAGTCTTTGGCATAATTCACACATAAAAATACATAACAGCTACTGAAAAATAATTTTACTTATATCTTAACCATACAAGTTACCATGCACAAAGAAAGAACCAGTAACTAAAAGTAACTAACAATATTTAAATTCCACTGATGCATTATGACAAGCTATTGTTCACATTTATATGAAGCTAATCAATACTTTGAAGATGAACAGCAAAATGTAGTAAAAGGAACATAAAGTTCAGATCTTTAAGTATTACTATTACATACTGTTTGTAGTTTTAGAGGACTGATCATGGAGTACATATCAACTGCTACATGGAAAGGCATAAATCAAATTTTGATTTAAAAAACACAAACAAACTGAATAACAACACAAAAATTAATTTGATCAGTTGAGGTTCTTTCAAGTTTTGAGTGGTTCAAAATTGATTTTGTTAAATAAACAGCCAATTATTTATAACATATCAACCATTTCAGGTTAATCAGTTTTATAGTTAATTAACTGATTTCTCGGTATTCAAAGCAGTATAAACTTTCAAATATTACAGTTTTTGATGCCAACTGACTCAAAACATCTTAACGAGTGTGTCAAATATGACTGAACCTCACGCTTTGGTTTAGGTAAAGTGAAAAACATTTTTAAATTTAAAGTTACTAAAGAACCAGAATATTGGGCTTGACTAAGATACAGTCAAAAACTTGTTGCAAGCCTAGATAAATGTAGCTTAGGATAGCTATAAGTTGTAACTTATGCTTAAGGTATAAACTAACTTTAGCCTTTTCAACTGTTGACACCTTATTTCTTTGAAACACCACAATGACAGTTACATTGACAGGCTAATAGTAATAATACTAATTCATTCTAATATCATTGATGGGTGTAAGGAACAAGTTAGATCCAGTATCAGTTGAGCCTTTTGGACTGAGGTCATGTCAGTATTGCATACAATAAAATATTCACATACAGTACAAAAAGTATTTCAGGCCAAAGATTACAATCCATCTATCCAATTGCGCTGTATATTTAAACTAGTAATTTATTTTAAGTAATGATCAGGGAGGACAATTGGCTATGTGAAATATAGCTCATTGAAAAAAGGTAAGCTAGCATTATTTTAAATATTTTTCCCATAGGGAGGGAGATATATTGCATTTTCTGTTTCTTTCTTTCTTTCTTTATTCCAACAATTACAATTATGTGCCACTCCTTTGTTTCTAAGCCAACTGTCATCTTAAGTTAAAACTTAGAAGGTATATACTTTGGTGCAAACACCCAGACAAATTTTTCATTTTGGCCTCCATTCTGATCTTATGGATGTCAAAATCAAACATTACCAAAACACAAATTCTGCCTCACAGTTTCCTTATATTTCCATCAATCCAAATGAGATTTGGCATAAGGATATACGTTATGACAACCCCTAAAACAGATTTTGATTTACAGGGTAAAAAAAAAAAAGACAGAGACAGAAGAAAAAAAGTTGTAAAATTAGGATTTTTGGCCTATTTTTTAAAAATTTTACCAGTATAGATAAGACTTTGCCCAAATATACCTTACAACAACTTCTGCAGACTGAAGTAGACATGTATGAGGTTTGTGCCTTTCTCATGATTTTACAGGATCAAAGATAAAATGTTTTTGCAAAGTAGGGACTTTAAACCTAATATTACTTTATATTTTCACAATCTAGATGAGACTTTCTAAACCTCCACAAACTGAAAGAGACAGATTTGGTATCAATGTCATCCTTGCAATTTTTCAGAGGTTGAAGGTCAAAATGTTTTGCTTAATTAGGGGTTCTGGCCTACATTTAATTATATTTCATTCACTACAGATAAGACTACATAAAGATATCTTGTGACAATCCCCAGAGACTAGGTCAGTCTGATGCCTTTCTTGTGACTTTGTAGATGTCAAAGGTTAAAATATTTTGCAAATTAGATAATTCTGGCCTACCATTCCTCTATACTTTGATTAATCTAGATGAGATGTTGCACATATACTTTGCAACATTTCCCACAAACTAAAGCAGACATATTTGAGATTTCTGCCCTTCTTTTGACTTCATATGAAACGTATGTAACAGAGAGCACTTAATCTAGACATTATCTGCATATGTAAATATTACAAGGGGTTGTTCTTAATGTTAGAAAGAATTAAAGAATATGTCTTATTTGCTTAAAAATCAGCTACAGAAATTTTGTCATTGTGAAAACTTCTATCCCTCTGAAGAATATATGTCCCTTTCCCTGCGTTGAATATTATTCTCTCTTGAAATGTATGTTATTCTGTAGAATTTATCAAACAAGGAGTGGTGAGGCATACTGCACTTATTTGCAAATGTTGATCTTTCTAGTTGATTTCTTTAAAGAGTAATATATGAAATTTTATAAATATGGCTAAATATTGACAAAGTACAAACTTGTGATATTGAAAATCTATACAACTTAAAATTATTGTCAGTATGTGATGCTTAATAATTATACACCGCTGAATAAAGAAAAACAGTACATTATATGTAATTATTGACTTCATTTTAACATAAACATTTTAGGACAAAGGGCCTGCTAGTCCATCAAGGCTTTCCTATCTACTAAACTAAACTTCAAAAAATGAGACACTTAAAGCCAGCCTTGTTTATAACAAAATGTGTTTGTAAAAATATTCCTCAAACAGTATTCTGCTGACTTAACTGTAATAGAAATCAGCATTGCCAACAAACATTACATACATTTGAATAACTTATCTGAATAAAAAATAAAATAATATTTTTCTTCTTAAGCACAAAGCTACACAATAGGCTATCTGTGCTGTGCTCCACCACAAATATCGAAATCTGATTTTTAGCATTACGAGTTTTGACTTACTGCTGGACTATTAGGGGCAAAAGAATATTAAGTACAAAAAAGGCAACCATGAGATTATGACCAATACAAGTTAGAATAGTTTAGGTGAAAAAAACAACAACTAATTTTGCATTGAGCCAATATGACTTAGTTACTTCAGCTGATTTGCCAAACATTATATAATTGTGTATGTTGAAATGGATTGACTTTATACTTGGTTTTACTTGACAGTAGAGGCTATAATACATTGTGTATACAGTTAAATGAAAACAACTACACAACCACTTTGTACTACTAAGTTAATGTTACCTAACTGATCTATGCAGCAACAAACACTGTCCATAGTGTATATAATCATGAAAATAAGTTATGAGAGGGTATAAATATGGTTGTTATGTGTATAGTCTTGAGAACAATAGGTACACAACCACAGTATATACAGCATTTTGAACAATATCTGCATAGGCATTACATATGTGATCAAATAAAAAAGAAAAACTAAACAACCATCATGAAAACAATTTATGACTATATACACAACCATTTTGAAACACTACCTATTATTAGTTGCAACCAAGTGAGATATGTACAAACCAAGCCTAACCTAAAGTAACCAAACCTTGCCTATCATAAGATAAGCTAGCATAATCAGATCAAACAATGAAACATAACCTAAACCTAGATGACATAAGAAAGCTTAGAAATATATTATGCCAATGTCTGATAATCATAGTTCTTTGTGCAATCAACCAAAAATGATAATATTTCATTATATTACTCAGGTACAAAAGAAAATCCCCAAAACATTTTTAACTCACAAGAGAAATATATATATA